AACCCGGGAAGCCCCCGGAGCCCCGAGAGCCCGGGCCGGGCGCAGAGACCGCCGCGGCCCCGCGCTGGGAGGAGGCTAAGACTTTCTACGACAGCCTGGCTCCCAAGAAGAAACCCAAGTCGGTGAGAGCGGGCGATGCTTCTGGGGGGTAGGGTGGAGAAAGGGGCGCTCCCAGGAAGGGGTCGCCGACCCCCGGGAATGGGCCCGCGGCGCCACTCCGGAGGGGGCGCAGTCCTCAGACCCAGAATGCGCCGAGCACTTGGCGCGGGCTCGGGTTTATTTTGGGAGCTGTGCTCTTGTGGTGGTGCTGATGGCGTTTTCTTCCCCCGGGGCTCGGGTTCCAAGCCAGGACTCCCCTCCCCCATGCTGTCGTCGGGACCCAGCTCCCGGCAGCCGCCGCCCCAACCCCTCCTTGCGCGGGCAGCCGGGCGCGTGGACAGCACTTGTTGGCAAAGGCGCCCCCGGGTCTGGGTAACCTGACTCTGGGAGCCTGGCTCCTCGCGGTGTGCTCGGGTCTCCAGCACCTGCACTGGGGCTCTAGCTGGGGCCCTGTCACCCTGGAACTGGGGCAGCGCTTCCTGCCTCCCGAAGGAAGAGAGCTGCGACCAGCACTCTGCGCCCCTGGTTCTGGGCTTCCAGCCCTGGGCTCTGCCCCACGCTGCGAGCACTGCTCCCATTCCCTGTGGACAGTAACATCTTGGCGACCTCTGTGCTGGCATCGGCCCTGTGAGACCCTGGCTCACAGTAAGGAGCTCCTCTTTGCAATGGGACAAGTTCGTGATGACTTGGCCACCCTGGGGCTTGCTCTCTCCGGTTTTCCAGATCTCAGAGCATGAGGAAGGAGCTGAGGACCTAGGCTGGTCCTGAGGCAGCCTCCAAAGATCTCCAGTCTGGCCTTCCAGCACCCGGCTATTTCCCTAGGAGGCCCATCTGGGAACAGTCATTCCTGGGGACCCTCCAGGCCTGGGCTCACCCGGGATTGAGATATTAATTAAGCAGGTGCCCTTGTCTCAGGAGGTCACAGTGCACCAATGAAGGCTCTGGAGAAGGTGGGTGCCAAGGTAAAAGATTCTCCGTGGCACAGCGGGAGCACAGAGCAGGAGTGCCTGCCCGCCAGGGTGGGCCGTGTGGAGACAGCCTCGGAGCTGACCTTCGTGCTCAGTAGGTGGGGTTTCCCAGGCAGAGGGAAACAGGATGGTGAAGAAAGTGGGGACTGTGTTAGGGCATCAGTACTGAGTGGGAGAAGAGCTGGAAGGGTGAGGAGCACCCCACTGTGGGACAGCCACCGGTGCCCGGTTAAGGGGCCTGAGCCTTATCAACGGGTTTGAGGTTTTCAAACTAGGTTCGGCGGAACCCATGTTTCAGAGGGTCTGTAGACAATGTGAGCCCGATTTATTTTCTTCTTCCAGTTACATATTTTTACTTTTAAAGTTATTTTTATTAATAAATGTTCATAGTACATCACGATTACATTCATCATGGGGAGTTGGTACGTGTGCATAATGCATCTGAACTCTTTTTCATCCCCTCGCCTTCCCGTGCCTCCCTGCTCCTTCCAACTCTTGGTCCCCTTCCCATTTGCAAAAGTTCTATTTCCATTTTTGTCTTTCTTTCTCTTGCTATTGTTTTGTTTTGTCTTTGAGACAGGGTCTCACTATGTAGTTCAGTCTGGGCTTGAACTCACTATGTAGCCCAGGCTGGCCTGGAATGTGCAGTGATCCTCCTGCCTCAGCCTCCCAAGTGCTGGGATTACAGGCGTGTGCCGATACACCTGGCTCCATTTTCTTTTAATTCTTTATTTTTCTCTCCCCTTTCCCTCTCTTTCCTCTCCCCTCCTTCCACCTGTTGCTATCCCCATTTGAAAAAGATCTCCCTACTTCCTATTATTTTTTATTTATATTTTGGGTTTCTCATATATGAGAAACTATGGGATATTTAAGCTTTTATAACTGATTCATTTAATATTATGCTCTCAAGGTGCATTTACCTATGAATGACTCCAGTTTATTGTTCTTTATGGCAGAGTAGTTCTCTATTATGTGCAAATACCACGTTTTCTTTATCCATTCAAGTCAATGGGTACATAGGCCATTCCCAAAATTTAGTTATTATAAATTATGCTGCTATGAACATATTATGCATGTATAACTGTAATATAACGATTTTAACTCTTTTGGCAAGATACCTAGAAGGGGAATAGCTAGGTCTAATGAAATTTCTACTTTTAGTTTTTTTGAAGAATCCCTATATTAATTTCCATGATGGTTGTACATTCTTGCCAACAGTTTAGAAGAGTTCCTCCCCATCCCAGCCTCACCAACAATCGGTGGATTTCTTGATGACAGCCATTCTGTCAGAAATAAGATGGAATCTCAATGTTATTTTAATTTGCACTTACCTAATGGCCAGCAATGTGGAATTTTTTTCTGGTATTTATTGGCCATTTGTACTTCTTTGAGAAGTGTCTATTCATTTTGGTTGCCCATTTCTTGACTGGGTCTTTTATTTCGGGTGATCTCATTTGAGATATATATGTTAGTACTCTATCTGAGAAATAGCTGGCAATGTTTTCCCCATTCTGTATGTTGTCTCTTTACTCTGCTGATTGTTTCCTTTGCTGTGCAAAAGCTTTTTAATTTGATATGATCCATTTGTTGATTCCCAGTATTATTTCTTGTGCCATTGGTATTCTGTTCACCAAATTATATTTTAAACAATTACATTCAAGTGGGTTTAATGGACATTTCAGCACCTTGGAGACCACTAACATTAACGTGTGGTGTAGATTATTTTTTAGCAAAGCCCAAAATGAAGCTTTTTCTGTGATTTATTTGATAGAAGAGCATCACAGGATTGAGGGGCTCGTAATTTAAAACAAAATGAAACAAAACAAAGAACCTCTTCCCATTTTCAAGTATTTCTCAAGGTGAATCAGGGCCTTTCTCAATACTATGCAAAAACAAACAAAAACAAATCAGTTGGATGCTGAAGCGTAGGACTGTACTAGTTACAAATTTGTGGTCATCTAAACAATAGCAATTTGTGTTGTTTTCAGTGACTGACTTTATAATACTTTTATTTTTTATAATACATTTATTTATAACATACTTTTGAATTTTTAGAATAGACATACCACTTATATATATGGTATTATCTGGTTCACATACTGGGGTTCTGCCTAAGAAGGCATCTGAATGAAAGCTCAACCTACTTTAAAAAATAAACATGAAAACCATTATGGAGCTCTTGCAGGATTTTCCAGCAGAGGACTAACTTGGTCCCATTCTCATTCTAGAAAGATGACACTAGGCTGTTTATGAGATGGATTGTAACAGGTGGGCCTGGCACAGGCATATGAGTGAGAAGACAGAGCCGGGCTAACATCATGGCCTGAGGGATGGAGAGGAGCAGATGGACACTGGGGACTGGGACAGTGAATGCTTCAGGGTTCAAGATCCTCTTCCCTCCAGGTACCAGGAGGGCAGGGAGCTCAAGCCCAGCCATCGCTCACAACACGATCCTTTGACCAGCCCCTGACCCTCACGGTTCTTTAGGACACAAGAAACCTGGAGGCTTTCTGGCTCCCGTTCCTTCCTGCAGCCAGCCCCCTTCCCAAGGCTATTTTGGGGGCCGTAGGCCTCGTGGGCCATGTCAGGGCCTGGCCTGGTGTTATTCTCATTCCCAGGAGCCTGAGTGAAGACCCATTGGAGGACCTCACATCATAGGGTCAGAGGACTTCCTCCATCCAGAGCTTTCCTGTCCCTCTCTCCCCCAGCAGCCTTTCTCTCTCTGAGTCTGTCCAGAAACAGCAGCTCTTTGGCTATATTCCTGTCTTGGATGCAGTAGGCAGAATCATGTTGGTGTGACTGGAAGGGGAGCTTGTCAGGTGGGCAGAGGCCAGGATGAAGGAAGGCTGAGCTGCCTCCATTGTTCTTCCATCCCCACCCCCAAGCCAGAGTGATCAGTCTGGGCCTCAGCCTAGGGCAAGGCAGAGCGCTGGCAGGACCCTGGCTTCCTGGAGCCCAGTGCTCCGAGCGGAGCCCCTGTCCTGATTTGACCCAATTCCCAGTCTGGGATGTGGGCTCCTTTCTGGTCTTGGTGCACCTGACAACACATGGCCGTGAGACCCAGCCAGGCACAAGAGGGTCTCTATGGCTCTCTCCCAGCTCTGGCCAGCTCCTTTTCCCTGTTCCCTTGGTCCCTCAGAGCCTGGACAGCCATTCGTCTATCCCACCTGGGATCCACAGTCCCTTGGCAGCCCATACTCTGTAGGCCTTTCAACTCCCCTTCACCTGTACCAAGTCAGAGCAGCCTCAGCAAAGGCAGGGCCCTGTCCTTTCCCCTCCATTCTGGGAGGAAAGAGTGCAGGGCTCTGCGGTAGTGCAGTCAGAGAGCCTGGTGCTTCTCACCATTGCTCCCGAATCTGGACAGGGAGGCTGGGGAAGTCACTGAAGGAACAGAGGCTGGGGTCTTCTGGAAGCTCTTGAGGAGGCCCATACCTGGTGGCCTGCTGTGTGGACAGAGTCTAGGCTGGAAGGCAGAGACCTGGGATCTTGTATCGCCTCTCTCTTGACTTTGCTGAGTGATGTAGAGTAATATCTTCCCCCTCTGGGTCTATTTCCCCATCTGAAAAAGAAGGAAGTAAAGACTCCTGGGGCCAAGGCAGCCAAGACATTTTTCTTATATGTTCCAGGATAGGGTGGGTTGGGGTCTGGGTAGCTAGGCCAGAGGGGGCCCAGAGTAAGCCAGGCACTAACTGTGGGACAGAAAGTGGAGAGTGAGACATTGGCTGACTTCCTGGGCTGGAGCATCAGACTTGGGAACCTGCCCTTGGAGCTGGAGAGCAACTGGCTTTCTGTCCTTGGGGAGGGAGGATGGATTTGTCCCAGGCCAGTAATCCCAGGAGGCCGGGTAGGGGTGGGGGTGACATGCTCAACCCATCTCAGAGATCCACCCACCTTCTGGGCTTATGGGAGTGGATCTCACCTCTAATCCCGCCCTTGCCCTCCTTGGCCATCACTCTGTCCCCCTTTTCTTTGGGGCTTGATTTTAGGCTCTTTGCTTGAAGGCCCCCAGGTGCTGATGAAGTTGGGAGGTGCCCGGCCCACGGACACACAGACGCACACTCATGGTCAGCACCTGGGTGAGGTGTTTGCGTTAAGTCTCAGGGGAGAGCACCTGCTCCACCACTGCACTGATCCTGTTGGCCACAGCCAAATTTAAACTTAGCTCAGCCACCAACCTTAAGGAATTCTTCATTTTTCCTTTTCTATTTTAAGGTCCTATGGCTCACTAGCCTCTGGCCCCACATAGCTATTTAAATTCATTAAAATGAAATGAAATGAAGAACTCAAATCTTGCTGGGCGTGGTGGTGCACGCCTGTAATCCCAGCACTCAGGAGGCTGAGGCAGGAGGATCACTGTGAGTTCGAGACCAGCCTGGGCTACATAGTGAGTTCCAGGTCAGTCTCAACTACATAGTGAGACCCTGTTTCAAAAAAAAAAGAAAAACGAAAAGAACACAAATCTTCAGTCTCACTAACTGCATCTTAAGTTGCTTCATAGTCTCACACACTATGGAACATTCCGTTACCACTGAAGTTCCACTGGACAGTGCTTTCTGAGGAATGGCGCCCGTCTGTGTTAGGGGTGGATCGGAAGCTCCGAAGGGGTAGGGATCAAACCTGCACTGTTTCCTGCTGTGTCCTCAGCACAGTGTCTGTCACATGGTAACTCACCAATGTTGTGAACTGACTGGCACCCAGGCTTGGCACCCAAAAGAAGCAGTAGGGGCGGGTGAGTGGCTCACAAGGCTCTCAGAAGCAGGCAGAAAGTGAGGCCCCCTTATGAGTCCTGAGCTCCATTTGAGCCCCTTTCTCATCTGTAAAGTAAGAATCACGATCCTAGGACTGCCAGGTCACAGGGACTGGTAGGACTCTTGGAATCCATGAGTCCCTTGTGTACCTACATCCTCTCCAGGGATTAGAAAGGGTGCAACTGCTGTCCAGGGGGGCACGAGCTTCTCCTCATTCCAGCAGAAGTGGGTCTTTTGGTCCCTTCAGGCCACTGTAACAAAGTGCCACTGACTGAGTGGCTTTTACTGTAAACAACAAAAGTTGATTTCTCACAGTTCTGGAGAATGGAAACCCAAGATCAAAGCCCCAGCAGATTGGTATCTGGGGAGGGACCTCTTCCTGGTTTACAGATGGCACCTCCAAGTTGTGGAGCAGGCGAGTGAGGCTCTCTGATGTCTCTTTTGTAAGGGCACAGAGCCCATCACCACCTAATCACTGCTCACAGGCCCCAGATCTTACCACCACCACCTTGAGGGCCAGGTTTCAATACATACATTTTAGGGGGACACAATCAGACAATGGTGGGGAAGGCCCTCTTGGGGTCCCTAAGAAGGCCCCTTGCAGTCCAGCACCTGCCTTCCCTTCTGGTTCGGCCACACCCTCCCCCATAGGCCCTGGGTTCTGCTTATCTTTGCAGCTACCTCTTTCTCCCTTCCTTCACCCTGCTTCTCCTGCAAGGCTGCACTCAAAGGCTTCCTCTCCTCTGCCAACTCCCCTCAAAGCTGTATCAAGATCTTGCTTCCGCCTTTGTCTCTGAGGCAGTTCACTGTTTCCTTGTCTTTTCTACCGGCCTGTCAACTCCAAGGGATGCAACCAGCTCTCAGGGTGCCTGACACAGAGAACCAGTAAATGTTTGTCAAGTTTATATCAACCAAAAAGGATATTCTCTGAGCACCTGCTATATATGCCAAGTAATCTGAACAATTGAAGGGGGGCACCGCCCTGGAGTTTCTATTTCCTGCGAAGCCTGTCATTGCATGTACTCTTTCATGAAATATATTAAACGTATACTGGAATATCTTAAACGTTCAGAGGCTTTAAAAGCTTGCGGAGTGCCTCTCTGTGCTGGGGATAATATTAAGAACTAGACAGTAAGGACCTGGACACACATGTTCCTGCCTTCTCACAACTTAAGCAGGTCTCGTGCTTCCTCCCTGGAACTCTGCCTACAAAGAGAAATAATTCAGCAATTCTAATTTAACGTTAAGTTGTACTGAGGAGGAAATCTGTAGGATGGGTGTCAAGTGGAGACTGTGGTGAGGGTGGGCTTCCTGCGGGTGAATCTCATTTGAGAGCTGAAGGTTAAGTAGAAGTTAGCTGAGTAGGTAGAACAGGAAACAGCATATTGGGGAAAAGAGAATGAAAGGGGGTTTGTGTGCCCTTTTGGGTGTCCCTTCCCAATTAGGCCACTCACGCACCGAGAGGTCCGGCAGGATCTTTATTG